CACAATTTTAATTATGGTTAGAGTAGTTCCCCAAGTTTCAGCTCCATACAGTAGGACTGTCTTCACGTTCGTATTGAATATTCTGACTTGATGATGTGTCTTTCTGAATAGAACGTGGAGCGTCTTTTCAGTCATTTCAATGTCCGACTTCAGTGCTTCAACTGGTATGTTGTCTAGTCTTTCAGTCTTCCCACTCTTGATTTGTCTAATGACCATCCTGATTTCTTCGAACATTGTTGGAGTGACATCTATGGGAAGGTGTCTGTGTGCTGCTGAGATGTCAGGTGGGTTCAGTGAAGCTGGTCTACTAAAGAGTTCTTCAAAGTGCTCTACTCAGCTGTTCCGTTGTTTTTGAATCTCAATGATTGGCTTACCATCCTTGTCTTTCACTGACCTCTCTGGTTTACTATAGTCTCCTGTTAGTTTCTTCGTTATATCATATAGTTGTTTGATATTTCCTCCTCTTGCCGCTTTTTGCGCTGTTGCCACCAGGTCTTCTACGCATTTCTGCATGTCGGCTATAATGCTCCTCTTCTCTCTCGTTTACCTCTGTGTATTCAATATGTCCCTTGACTTTCACTGCTCTCGCTCGACTGTTATTAATTGTTGTTTTGTTCTTCCATTCTTGAATCCTACCCAGCGTTTCAATGAAGATCCATTCCTCCAGATGTTGCTCCTTGCGTCCCAGACCCTCCTGACATGTTGATGTTTTGTGGTTCTTTGATCGCTTTCCATTTATTCTTTATAGTAGTTTCCTCTTCATCGAGTAGATCTGTAGAATTATGATCTAGTTCGGTAATAGTACACTTATCTTTGTTACTATTACAGTAGGCTAAATCCCGAAATTGTAGACTTGTCATGACGTGACCACGTGATCTACAAGATCTCACGTGGAAGTCACATCATTGTCTATACTGACTCGTCGTATAGTGACAATCGGCAATATGATATTTAGCACTTCTGAAGAACACACTTAGACTAGTGATAGGATGATGTATATTTTAACGTGGCTACGGATTTGTTACAAGGGTGACCACGCCTGTAAGGCTGAACCATTGCATACCGATCAAGTGTTCCTTGTTGTTGACCTTCTCTTAGTGTTACATGTTGAATGTGAATATTTTCAGTAATTAAATGCTTGGCTTCAAAGGTCGTGCGGTTAGAAATCAATACCACTGCAGATCCTGTAAGAGGCTTGGGACTTGATGTTGCGAGTTATCTTGAACTTGTTGAGTTCGTCAGTATCTTGGAGGAAGGCTGTATTAAACCTTTGTGATGCTGTTTCTCCGATTGTCCAGTGCTTGCTTCGCTTCAGTTTCATCTTGGCAACCACCAGGTAAATGGCGATCTGAATCTATGCCAGTTCCTATCCTGCTTCTCACGTCTTCCATTGGCCTTCTGAATATTTTAGTGATGCAAATACGATCAATCTGGTTCTGCGTAGTGTGATCCGGTGGAAGGCTTGTAGCTTTGTGTGTGTTTATGAGGAAGTATAGTACCATCAATAATCATTTTGTTGAATGCATATAAATTTGCGAATCCCTCACCATTCTCGTCCCTTCCTCTCAGTCAGTCCATGTTATCTTCATATCTGGTGTTGTCCATTCCGACTTGGGCGTTTAAGTCTCCCATTTGAATGGTCAGGCCCTTTCTTGGGCACGCCTTAACAATCGTTTGCAGCCTCGCACGATACTGATCTTCATCGTCGTCGATGCTTTAATTGGTGGGTGCATAATATTGGATAACGTTCATTGTGATTTTCTTCTTTGTGTTTGAAGTATGCTTTGATGATTCTGGATGCATGATATTTCCATCCCACAAGTGCTTTTCGTGCTTCTTTGAACTGTATCAGTATAACTCCTTGTGTATGCAGAACATTTTGTTGCCCGTGACTAGAGTACAGCAGCATCTCTCCTGAATATAATCTCTTCTTTCCAGCTTGGGTCTAATGTGTTTCACTGATTCCGAGCACCGACAATTTGTATCGCCTTATTTCCGTAGTTATTTGACTGGTTCTAACCGGTCTTTCACATTGTCCGGATATTCCGTGTACTTATATTAATTGTTGCTGTGATTGTTAGAAGGGACATAGTCCTCGTGATTTCTTGAGAATCTTGGCATTCACTATGAGGTGTCGTGATTCTTCTGAATGGAGATCGCTGGACTCGGAGTTTAAATTGTTTGTTGTGGTTAGTGTATTTTACTAGGGTTGTTTTCTACGGGAACGTGTTGGTTAGTTAATGCGTTTTCTTGCTCTTTCAATCTGGTTTGAAGCGATCACCAACCCTCGAATCGCTTCCTGTATTCTAATCATTTTTTAATAACTGATTATCTTGATCGGTTTTGGTATACGTTTTATTTACCTCGCTCTATTTGAAACATAATGTTTACTCGTCATTATTTTAAAATAAGGAACGGTTTTTTTTCCCTTCGTGAATTCAAATTAGTAGTTCATTTGTTTCTGCTTTGGTTTAAAAGTTTATTCCTCTGGGCTTCCATTGTTGTTATTTGTCATGTTGGAAAGATATTGATGACGGACTCAGCCTGTTATGATGTTCACAGATCAGGAGTGAGTACCCTGGACTCCACATCTCTAGCCAGCTTAGTTCTGTCACCTCACCATCTATCGACAGCATAGCAAATATTTCTTCGAACTTCTCTTCTGAAGTCACTGGGTTGGCACGTTTCAGTTATAGTTCTTAACGGTTAAAGTGTTGTCAAACTCTATATACTTGTGTCATCTCCACTTAGAAGATCTAGAGGAGGAGTTATGAAGCTACCACATGGGACCTCAATGTTTCGGTCGGTATCTAAGTATTGTACAGGTGATGAAATATGTCCTGAATATAAGAACTTAGTGCATCCCAAGTGCTTCGACAGAAATGGTAGTTATCTGCTTAGTTCTGTTGTAAGCCTGTGCGAAACTTACCTTCATTATTTGGACGGATTTCGGTACCTGCAGATACATGTCGACTGCATACTCGAAATTAACCATACGCAAATTCGACTGGACAATTGTTTCTTTTCAGTATTTGTGAGAAACTAACTCTCAAAAGGTGGTTGAGTAACTGTTTGCGATAACTGCGGATTCTTCTTCACGTACAAGGATCTAATCGTATGCACTGTGAAGAAAGAAACCTTAACTCTCACAAAATTGAAGTGACTACATAAATACCTTGGCCACAAATAATTTCTTATTGAACCGAAAGCACTATTAAGACACCATGAACGCATTCAAATCAAAGGTCCAAGTAAGATTGTGTACGTGATGAACTCATCCGTTCTAAAAGCGAACTAAACTGAAATGAACACTTGGTCTGGTGTACTTGGTTTTTAGACTTTTATCAAACAATCAGTACACAGGTAAACATGACATAAAGGGCAAGAATAATAAGTAAAAGAATGGGTCCCCTCGCACGTGTTAAGCGATATCGAGTGACTTTATTTCTCATCTGTGGACAGAATTCTTGCCATCCCACACAAGCTTTCGTAATATTTGTGTTTGCCATCTACCCTTCATCCCAGTAAGTTGTAGTTTGACTTAGTTTTTGTTCAAATTTAATTTATCAATCCAAACTCAAGCAAATAAATTGCATTGTTTATTCAGAGATGTAGTATTGTAAATGGGGTCTAGAGATCTCTTACATATGCTTTACCACTCTAAAAAACATTGATGAACAAGAACATCCTTTATCTGAGTAAATACAAACTTTAAAACACCATACAGTGTACAATCATAAGCAATCCTAACCACTACGTGTCATCACTTTTTGACGGAACAGACAATATTACCATTTCACAGAACTACAGATTATCTGTGAGGAATTTTACAAATTTGGCAACAACACTGGAAAGGACTGCTTAGATTGATTGAAAGGAGAGTCCATTTATCAAAATTGTAAAGCTTACCTGACAAATAACATATCGCTAGCTACTTCCATCCGGACAATGCGATTTGGATTTATATGAATGAAGGAAAAGTTTGACGTTATTCAAGAAATGATTCTGTGATAGTTGCACACAATGATAAGTTCCTCATTCATGATCCCATTATTTTCGCACATTCCAAACACAGTTCACTTGAGTTTATCTGCCTTAAATTGGGCCACTGGAAATTATTAGTTAGAATATCAGTTAAACTACTTTCAACTATCGTAAATTCTACCTAAACGAAGCGTCAAAACCTGTAACTACAGAACAGTATATAAATAGGCCAAGCAAAGCCATTCTTAATTATATATTCAAATGACCGATTTCAGTTATTTCGAAAATAAAGTGAAGTTGAAAGAGTAAACGGATTGTAATGCTTACTTTGTAAATTGATGGGCGCACTCGAAATTGTATGCAGCCAGTTCCTAGTATCGGATATTAAATTGCCTTAACCAATTCCATACTTCCTACAAAAGTTAAAGAACTAGGGGGCTGAGCTGATAAATTCATCCTGCCTGGTAGTGGGGCACAAAATTGGATTAAAACGCGTTATCTGCAGGATTGTGTTAGTGCACGCTTGGAGAATACTCTAGAGCCTTCGCATGTGAAAACTATAAATATACTAACGTTTTTCTTATTGTGCTTCTTACTTCCATCTACTCTTATTTGGAGTATAATTTCGTTCCTCTACAATCGTGTTCTGATTTGGGAACTTGTCGAGTGAGTTGGTGCCCAACAATACTGAGCAATAGGAATAGTTGGGTCGTAATAAGAAAAATTATCACACTGCCACACAAGAATGTTGAGTCGACTCGTGTATAAGAATCTTGCGTACCAGTATCAACTTTCGTACGCGGAGCCTCACATCATTTTCGAACATAGAACTTCAGTTAACTCTGTCACTATCAACTGAATGACTGTAATTTATAAAGCTTATTTATATGACCCACAAGTCTTATATATTCGGAAGAAAAACTTTGCAAACATTCTTGATAGAATCAAACATGAATTTTGTTTGAGTCAAACTCATTCATAATCTAAAATATTTCAAGATAAAAGTTCCAAGAAATCCCATAGATACTGTATTTAAAATAAATTCAGAAGATATAAAAAACATGAAGATCAGTAAAATCACATTCCATGTTGATAATCAGTTCAGTCTATCAGAATGACAGAATGAATAGAACGATTTAATCATTGCCCACTGATTTTGTCATGCGATTTCTTTGCTATAAACTCTTCATTTAGGCGAGAGTCCGTCTCCTCTTTTAATCTCAAAAGATCATCCTAAAACAAAACGAAAGAATTTTGCCGATGGTAACGTGTGTGTTAACATGTAACTGTAGTTAAGCAGACTAAATAATAAAGTGCCATAAGAAGAAAAACTTGGAACCATCAAACTAATGAATAGTGAGGAAAAAACAATTTATAGATATTAGTGGTGTCGGTTAATTTAGTTGTAATTTAAAAAGTAAAGTAGTATTATATTATGTGGTTTTACGTGGATGACAAGAATTAAAGATGAACAAACCCATTTTATATTGTGAAACGATAACACGTCTGAATGAAACCTTCATGTGAAATCTTACTATATGATGAGTTTCAGTTGCTGTTTCAACAATAGTTCCACTTTCGAAGGATCCATATTAGCACCAACCTCGTAGCCAAATTGCTATGTTTGAAGAGATTACGAGATCGCCTGAATCGGCGAACGGAACGAAGACTCAACGACACAATAACAAGACAGCTAAATTATTTCAATGTGTCCCAGCCCCGCTAACCAGAGGGAGAAGTTCGAACAACAACAACAACAAACACAAAGCAAGCATATATATATATATATATATATATATATATATATATATATATATATATGGCACAACAGTGCCCTTGAGAAACGTCACAAAAGCATTAAGGGACAACGCACCAATAACATTTAGGGTCCTTCCAAGTGGGAAATATAATCTGAAGGTGAAAATGTGCGCTTTCGGTGTGAAAACAAGAAATTCAAACTTCCAAACTAAAATTACAAAAATAAGACATTTATTAAGTGTATTCTGGATATTCTACATTCTCAACAGTTTGAACATGAGATTTAGTGGTTTTAAAAACCAGCGACTCCACTACCATACACACTCCTCTTACATTGCATTTAATATATAGCTGTCTCTGATTGAATGCACATTAAATAATAGTGGCATAGTTTTTGCTATTGGATTCATTCACTGACAGTTTCACATAATTACACTTTTGACCTTTTAAATATATGATAAATTGTACAGTTTACTATATTGTGAATAAACAGATTTCTAAAAGATGACGAAGATTTTCGAAGCTTATTTATATAGTTCCTTAAGAACGTTTCCAAAAGGACCCTAACTGGTCATTAGTTTGTTTCGTAAGATATTTACATTATCAAGTGATATTAAAACATATGTATTTTAACTATTACTTTTAATGGAAACTTTTGTATCATTGGTTGAACTTTCAAATGTTGTTTGTATTTGAATTATGCTTCTTATGACTGTTCAAACAAATAGGATCTACACATGTATATTATTCTTGTGGTCAAATGAACACGAAATTCAGGACTGTTTGGTACACTTGTAGTTGCTAGTATTGTGGTCAGCCCATATAGGTTACTCTAGCTTTTGGACAAATCAATTTATTCATTCTTCTCACGCCACATTTTGACCCTGTCATTCATTCGCTTACTAACCCTGACTGTTTTCATATCGTCTGTATGTTAATTGCTCAACCTACTCATGACATGTCTAACTTATTTTTGTCTGAATATAAATATTGAGTCACGCTCGATTAAAATCAAGTTGACCCACTCTCCTTCGTTGAGCGTCACTTTATTTTGTTTCGCCTCGCTTTCCTTTCTTCACTTCGTCCCCTGATTATCTGGCTGGATCAATGAGTGTAAAAAATATACGGATTCAAGATGTATTCTCGTATTTGGCTTGTTTCATTCCTTTGTCCTCTAATACGAACTAAATCGATAAAAATATACGACGGTTGGTGGCAAGTATAGTTTGATAACAATCAGCATACGATTTAACTGGAGTCAGATATAGGGCTACAGAACACTAAAATGCAATTAGCATAAAAACTGATTACAAAACAGACAGCATTGGAAAATATCATTTTTGTACAAGGTCGACTAGAATTCGTGTGTGTAAATTCTTCGTTGGTCATTTAATTGAATTTTAATACACCCCTTTTAATAAGAACAAAAAGTATGACAGCCAATATAATCCACATTATTATATCCTGTGAATTCGTTTCCACAATTTACCAACGTTTTATGCTGTTATGAGTTGTGTGGTGACTAAGTGATATGACTTTGAGAGAGTTGAATCACAATCAACTTAAATTAAGATGAAAAGGATTGGCATGATACATAATAAATAGAAAAACTTGAAACATCTAGAGCAGTTTAAAGTGGAATGGAAACAATTAAAACCCTATGAAAGTCTATTCCAATAAACGTCATTTATGAAAAATTTAAATTCATATATTATTTACAAGGACACAAATTACACTAAACATAAAAGAACCTTCAATTCACACCAATGTCTCACATAACAATGGAACATAAATAAATACCTAATACACAAAATGGAATATTGCGCTTACCTTCCAGCCAAGAAGTTCTGATATTTTGACTACACCATCATCAGCATTACCCGACCAAAATATATCACGTTTATTATCAGATCTGCTCCATTTCATATAATTCTGTTTCAAACCAGCCACCATAAACCGCATAATGAATGAAGATAAACCCTCAATAAATATAACGTAAAACGACGTACTGAGAGATAAATTAAACATAGCTGATTAAGTAGTAATTATATTTTTATGATGTCCAAATTAGTAGAAATCTGTGTTTCTAACATTTCGCGAATTAGTGTACGTCACTTCTTCAGAGTAAATAAGTTAGTAACGGAAATTAATTAATAAGTTTGAATAGTATAAAGGAAACAAAGCAGAATATTTTTAGCGCAATAAAAGTCATAATAGGTTGGAATATGACAATGTCATGTTCTTTTTGATTGAGCATTTTCACTTGTATCTATGATGGTGATTGTGAAAAATGTATAATTTGTAATATGAAGTAGTGCAGAAAATAAATAGATGATAATACTATGTAGATGTCCTTTAAGCATTAGATCAATCATAAAATCTCTCGAACTAGACTTCATTTCAACGCTGTTCACCTTCAAAAAAACGAATGGAGAAGTTATCGAATCACCCATATCTATTGTTGCTAATTTATTTATGTCCCATATCGAGTCGCTTATTTTTGCCAGTACCATCAGACCAGTCACATGGCTCGTAGTAAACCATGAGTAAAATCCAGACAGCTATAATTTGAAATACTAGAGAATAAAGGTACACAAAAGCTTATTATAGTTTTGTTCTCATTGATGGGTAATTCCGAAACCTTTGACCTAAATTTATATGAATCCTTTAAGACGTTATTTAGGTTAGGTTGAAGTGGCTTTAGTATACGACTTAGACATTAGGATCAATCATGTGGTGTTTGTGAAGTCCACTATGGGTATTATAAGTATATCACGTTTTTGAATTTTTGGTAGCCTGGTGCGAAGCAATCAAATGTGGTAAATAACTCATAGAACATTGTGTTAGCGTTAATAATATTAAAAGAGTGTCATTACTTGCAAGTTATTACATAAAATCTAATAACAAAGACAGAGACATTACTGAAGGTTGACTGTACATATCGCAATAATTTGTCAGTTACTATTCATTAACTCCTATAGCAACCTGCAACATGCTCAACAAATAGCTACGTAGTAGCTTGATTGAAACTAGAAATTGAAATTTTTACAAAATGTGTGAATGTAAACCTTCGAAAGACAATAATTTTGTAGACGCCTATTTACCTTAATAAACAATTTTGGGTATAGCAATCATTGGTTGAGAAATGTCCTCACATGGCCACAAGTATATAGCCACTACCAGGGGAGTCCTACTCACTGCCTTCTCGTGGCGGGGGTGTTTTTTACGAAATTGAGAAGACGGGAAGCGAATGTCCGGCACTTTAACCGGGTTGGTGGGTATGGAGGATCTATCTAGGGGAGTTGGAAAACTCTGACTCCAAATCAATCGTGCACATGAGCTCCAGTATCCTGAAGGAATAAATGGCGTATGAACCAAACGTTGGTCATCAGTTACCATGGAACTGCGTCTCCTGACGTTGCCTTGTGGATCAGGACTTTAGGTCAAAGGCTCCGGGTGTGGCCCCTTAAGGAAATCACCTGCTTCAGTTTGGGCACCCAGGCAGTATCACAGCCCACACACAAACTAAGTGACTTGTGTGGCGCATATGCATCTGGTGCCCCTTTGTACCAATATTTATGTGTTCAGATAATAAATATGAGAAATACTTGCGCCGTCATCTCTTCTAACCTATATTCGAAAATGCCTTTGGACGATGAGTCGAATTATGCTAGGGACTCCGCCAATGACATACTGACAGATCTGTGGAGCCCAGTACAATACAACTATTTTTCATTTTACGGAGACATATTATGAACAAAATACCTCTCATGCAGCCATGATGTCGGAAAATTGTGTACGAATAAATCAGTATAGTAAACTTTGAATGCAACAGGCAACTACCAAACTGATTAACTGTGTTTCAACTCGGACACTTTAAAAATGGTAACATCGATCAACATTAATTTAGACCTATGTGTTATTTACTATGATCAGTTTTCGAACGGTATTAAATAATTGGATAAAAATACGAACAACAAATGAATGATAGTCATTCACAGACTGAAGCAAACTTACAGGCTCTGTAGATCCATCGTTATATTCTCGATTAATGTAGAGTCGCGGGACGTCATTACCAACACGATGAATCATAGCACAGAATGGTAACACAGTTAACGAAGTACCCATTATGATGAGTAAATCACAATTATTGAGATCCTAATTTTAATAAAAATTGAATTACGAAGTTAGATGCTAAGAAAAAACTACAATTCACATTAACTGAGGCCAATTTTAAATATATTATGTAATCTATTGTACATAAGCATAATTTATAAACACAAGATGCTTCGAGCTTAACTGTCACCAAATTTGACATAAAAAGAGGTAAAAAAAATACAAAAGGTTATAAAATAATTTGATGGATAGTTGATGCTCTGGATCAATAAGTTTAGGGTCGAACGATAGCTGAGAGATGTTGACAGCTGTACACTACTGTTCGATGTTTGACTCGATTATTTAGGAGATACCGATAAATTTTAGTAATTGAAATCTAGCTTACTTAATCAGATGACAAATGTCCCTGAATAAGTTTTGTATATATTTGGTTTGGTTAACTGACAAAACTCCTTGTCTTCATACGTAAGTGGCAGGTTGGGTTGGCAAAGACGTAACATCTATATCAGTATCTAAATCAAACGACAGTCGAACACAAAATTATTTGATGACAAGCTATTAACTCTGTGAGGGAAATCAATTCAATAATCCCTATTTTTCCATAGCAGCTTAATTCTACAATAAAATATCACCAGAGAGAATTTCAGACACCACAATTCTAAATGGCTGAGATGATTACGCAGAAACTTCCCAATCAAACCAATTTAGTACGATCTCCGATGTTATGGGATCAGCTACCGATCCTAAATCACTTCTATGATATTCATGCAAGTATTATATTTGAGTTCCAGTCCAAAAAATAAGAACATACTTTTCGAGTCAATTTCTCATTACAAGACGACTCCTTAAAGGTTCGAAAACTATTGAAAACTGAGAATAGCTGAACACAAAAAAAACACAGTCAAATTGGATTATACCCAGAAAAAACAATGATGTCCTTTCCCACTACAGCACGAAAAGTAACACAACTTCCAGATCTTCAGTCTTATCTGCATAATTTTCGCTACCTAATACGGGCACGCATCTGCTTGCGCCTCACTGGACGCAAAAAAGCCTCAGTAAAAAGACCCATTAGAATTGAACTGAGTAGCGAGAAAACCAAAAGTAGGTTCCAGGAACAACTGAGGTCACAATTAGGTAGTTCTGAAAACGAGGTTGACCCAGATGTTGCTTGGAAAGCTATACAAACAGCAGTGACATCTATTAGCGATTTAAACCACAGGGTTACAAAGAACCAATGGATTTCCTCAAGGTCTATTGCATTGATGGATTCTCTTAAACTCATCCCATCAGGCTCTGAACACGATGAAGAGCGACAAAAAATCAGATCTAAGTTAATCAAAAGTCTAAGGAACGACCGTGAGCAGTGTTGTCAACGAAAGCAAAAGAGATGGAAAAGGCGGCGACTATAGGGAACACAAGACAGCCCTACAGACTAATAAAAGAAACTGGAATTAATAAATCAAGTGTAATTCAGACTATTTCGGTAAAAGACGATACTCTCATCTGCTCCCAGTCCAGACGTTTAGAACGATAGGCGGAACATTTCAGAGAACAGTTCAGCTGGCCTTCAGCTACTCTACAACTACCCTCCATTCCCAGACAGTGTGAATGGAACATTGAAGTAGGTCCCCCAACTCTTGCTGAAGTTCAAAAGGCTATTGCTAATCTGAAACAAGGAAGAGCAGCTGGTCCAGATGGACTGGCTCCAGAGGTCTTTATGGATGGTGGTCCAATTTTAGCGATTAGGTTGACTAATATTTTAGCTAAGATCTAGGAGTTAGACGTTATTCCATCTAACTGGTCACAATCACTGATCGTCCCAATATATAAGAGAGGGTCAAAATCATCCTGTGACAACCGTAGAGAGATTAGTTTAACTAATATAATATCTAAAATACTAGCCTCGATAATTATCAGACGCCTAACTAAGACTCGTGAACTGCAAACACGAGAGAACCAAGCTGGCTTTAGACCTGGTCGTGGCTGCATCGACCACATATTCACCATTCGTCAGGTTCTAGAACACAGGCATACTTATCGACGTCCGACAATGGTAGTCTCTCTTAACTTAAAAGCAGAATTTGATTCAGTAGACCGAGAGATTCTGTGGCAGTGCCTGTCATTGAAAGGCGTACCTCAGAAGTACATAAAACTTGTGAAGGCTCTTTACTCGAACACTACTAGTCGAGTCAGAGCTTATGGCGAACTGTCATCTACTTTTGTAACCTCAAGTGGTGTCCGTTAAGGTTGTCCACTTTCTCCATTTTTGTTTAACTTCATCATAGACCTACTGATGGAACTAACATTCTCGTCTACTGAACTCTCGGGTATTGATCCCATACCAGGAGGTCCACTTATCGACTTAGAATACGCAAATGACATAGTCCTGTTTGGTGAGGCCGCTGATAAAATGCAGAGTCTTTTGGTAGCACTAAGCAACAATGGCAGAATGTTTGGAATGCGCTTCTCTCCCTCTAAATGCAAGTTGTTGCTTCAGGACTAGTCTGCGTCAACACCTGAACTAAGAATAGGGAGTGAAGTAGTCGAACGCGTTGACAACTTCACTTATCTTGGAAGTCTGATCAGCCCTAATGGGTTGGTGTCTGACGAAATCTCTGCACGGGTTGAAAAAGCTCGTCTGACTTTTGCCAATTTACGTCACCTATGGCGAAGGCGAGATATCCGTCTATCAATTAAGGAACGAGTATACTGCGCGGCAGTCCGTTCTGTTTTACTTTACGGCAGCGAAACATGGCCATCAAGAGTAGAAGATACTCGTAAGTTACTAGTATTTCACCACAGATGCCTTAGAAATATTTTCAGCATCAGCTGGGATCACCGGGTAAGTAATAGTGAGGTTAGACGCAGGGTATTAGGGAACGATGGTAAATCAGTTGATAAGGTTGTGAATCTTTATCGGCTGAGATGGTTGGGTTATGTGTTGCGTATGCCTGAACACCGATTACCACAACGTGTAATGCTAACTGGTGTTGGAGATGGTTGGAAGAAAGTTAGGGGCGGCCAAACCAAAACGTGCTTGAAGTCACTAACTTCTAGTCTTAGCCATGTTGGTAGACGAAGACTACTCGGTTGGGGTCCAAGTGACTATCGTAACCAATGGTTGGAGACTCTTGGTGACATGGCTCAGAATCGATCACAATGGCGTAGGTGTATATACTCTTTGTTTTCCCCTAAACAATAAGATTAAAATTGCTTTTTATCTTTCGTTCTATAAAATGATTCCTTTTTCTGTATAATATCCTTATACACAATCTTTCTTTAATATATTACTACTATTGAAGTAACTATTTCTATGAATTCGGCTATCATCCTGTTGTGCTAATGAGGTATGGCAACTTGGACCGATGCATATATGTGCCTGGTCCTACGTTGTAGCTGACTGACTGACCTTTGTTTGAAAAATTTGTCGAGCACAGTCGTTTTATTTATGTAGGTTTTTAATCAATAAAAGGTGGGAGAAAATTGAAATGTGTTTGATAACAGTCGAACAATTTAAGAGTCCCAAATCATGTTTCATTGAAAACTTAGCTCCCATACGAAAGTAAGATGCTTCGGTGAATTGAAACATGCGTTACTTGAAAATTGTTTTTCTATATAAAATCTCGTAACTGCAGGTAAATAACACTCCCGTTATTAGGAAATGAGGTCGACTGAACAAACTTTTCGAACATGTAAGAAGCTCCAGTCGGGTAAAAATCAAAGCTATAGTGCTGAAGGATGAACAGAAGTATGTCTACGAGTACAATACTTTCAGGACCAACCATTACTTTACCTCAGTGGAAGATAACTTAATATTACTAAGACTCCGAACATGACATAGGAGGATAAATAAAACTAACAATTTAATGAGAACTAAGCAATTGCTACCTTGAAATGCCTAAAATATGTTTCCCACTACAATAAAAACTATTGATTTAAAACAATAGGTCCGTTAGATAAACTTAAATGATGCGACAAGGAGACGGTGTTTATTAGAACTAAGTGGAATATTAGTGCCATACCTTTTGAACGCCCCCAAATGCCCTGGTACGGTCGGGAGTGGGAAAAGGCAGCTCCCCCTCTCGAAATGTTACCACATGGCTACAAGTATACCGCCACTACCAGGGGAGTCCTACTCACTGCCTTCTCGTGGCGGGGGTGTTTTTTACGAAATTGAGAAGACGGGAAGCGAATGTCCGGCACTTTAACCGGGTTGGTGGGTATGGAGGATCTATCTAGGGGAGTTGGAAAACTCTGACTCCAAATCAATCGTGCACATGAGCTCCAGTATCCTGAAGGAATAAATGGCGTATGAACCAAACGTTGGTCATCAGTTACCATGGAACTGCGTCTCCTGACGTTGCCTTGTGGATCAGGACTTTAGGTCAAAGGCTCCGGGTGTGGCCCCTTAAGGAAATCACCTGCTTCAGTTTGGGCACCCAGGCAGTATCACAGCCCACACACAAACTAAGTGACTTGTGTGGCGTATATGCATCTGGTACCCCTTTGTACCAATGTTTGTGTTTAAGTAAATACCTTCTGAACAACCTGATTTCACACTAAACATCTACGTTATCCATTATAAAAGCAGCAAACTGAACCAGTGTGGAAATGAAGACAACACACATAATAAGAAAAAAATACATCACACCAATCTGGATGCTAAGTTTAAGGGTGATATCAAAAGGGTAGGCTCTAAGTAAAAACGAAATATATCTGAAACAAGTCAGTCAGTCAGTCAGTAACAACGTAGAACTTCGTACGTACGTACATCAGTTCGAGTTGCCACACCACATTAGCACAGAGATACAGTTGTCGATTCAAATCCCGTAGTGGTAGAGGTATTAAGAGTATAAGCAGTAATCGGGAAGAATAGGGTTTGGAGATGTTATTTAAAGAGTATAATCCAGTGAAATAAATTTGGAAAGAGGAAGCTGCTACCTTGACGCGGTGGTCGGGCTTGCCTATCGTGATGACCCAACCGAGCTATATTGGCTGGAACATATATTCCTTCAGGTTCTACCATGCCAGGCAGGTCGATTGGTGAACGGTAAGACTAAAAGCAGCAACTCAAGGTCTGAGGGCGAAGTCGTACTGCTGACTGTAGAGGGGTGTGACAGCAGTAAGGTGTTTCCCTCGGACAACCAGCATGACAGCGATGCTGCCTTCCCACAAGGAGGGGTGGGGTTGGAAAAGGTCGACCCTAAAAATGTCACACCTCACCTTACCTCACAGATTTCCGTCTCCGGCAGTAAGGCCCTTTGAAGAACGGAGCTAACACGTCAAAAACCTTCCACAAAAAGGCCGTGCGCGACCGGCCTCAAGCAGTTGTCCCTTGGGCTCTGCGGTCACGCTCCCAGGTCGTCAAGACCAACACTAATCCAATTTCCTTTTCAGGTTCCTCAAGAAATACCCTTCCACGGTGTGGGCAACCGGGAAGTGATATCAGCCCTCATACCCGTAACAGCACAAGAGACCAAGGTGGTCACATTCAAATCTTTCCTATCTGAAACAAAAAGGAGTTTGAATCTTTGTACAGCTAAGGTCAGAATAAACCTTAGTATTTGTCCTAAGTCATGTTTACACAACACGATAAAAGTTGATTTGAACTCAATAATGTGACCCATGTTTGATAATGTGGGAAGATGATTATTAATCATATGCCATATTCTACAATAACTTATTTCAAAGTAACATATTAACAACGTTAGATGCCGACTCAGTGGTTTAGAGGTTAAGCGTTTGCGCGCGACTGATAGGTCCAGGGTTCGAGTCCCGTGAGGCGGGATCGTGTATGCGCACTGCTAGAGTCCCATACTAGGACGAAACGGCTGTCCAGTGCTTCCAGATTTGCCATGGCCTAGCTTCAATTGGCTCATGAATTCAACCATTAAATTATATAAATGTCTAGGACTCACCGAAGAAAGGTTCTTGAAAAATTTCTTCGGCATACTCTCACCAAAAAGTACAACATCTGTAAATAATTTAACTGGAATTAAGCAGTTACCAGGTTTGACGACGTGTTTGCATTTAAGACACTTAGGCACTCTTTTGGCTAAAATTTCATCTACAAACAGAAAGAAATGTCATTTACTTTAAGTAGTAAATACTTAGCATAAACTCGAAATCATGCAGTTTCTTGCACTTAATACAGTGTCCTGTGTGAAATGTCCCATGGGCTTCAACCAATTTCTCCTCTGGTAAACCAGATAAGCGTTCCAAACTATCACAGTTCTATGAGAATAAAAACTGGATGATAATGCTTTACATTACCTGTGTATAATGCCTAAGAAGTAAGCCTTTGTCATGAAGTAGCCTGATAAAACAATGAGCCAACGTAGGCTAAATTTTGATATTATGTAATGCGTAACACGTGCCTTTGCTTCTGGTCGATACAAACGCCTTGCAATCTCAAAGAAAGGTCTAGGATCGTTCTGGAAAAGAAAAAAAACCAAGCTTACTGATACTAGAAACACACGTACTCGGAAGTAATCAATCGAGAATATTGCGTTCGGAGTGGGCAAATTAAAATCTTCCAAGTTGTCGTATATGCCAGAAGATGGGCTTCGAAAATCAGGTATTCCAGCAGCTTTATTTTTTCGAAATAAAAAATACATGGGTTGTGAAATAATGCTCACAAAATTTCTATGGTAAAACAATTAACCGTTGAAAGAATTGAAAATGATATCAAGCGGAGAGCTTAAGTTAAGAAAGGTGCTCAATCTCCCTATTTGGGAGGACTTTGGGTAAGTTCTGTGGTTTTGTCTAAAGTCGTGATAAGTTTGCTAGCTTTCCCCGAAGTTTGGGGAGAAACATTTTGGGGATTTTCCCCAGATCTGGGGAGATTTTGGGAGGTTTGTGCCAGTTTTCCAAAGTTTTCTATAACAGTTTTCCTAAAACGGACAGAATTCTCCGGAAATAGTGACAATGGGTGTATATCCAAACGACTAGTAATCTGTGATTGAGATACCTGTAAATGCACCTTGAGCTGAGAATGTTTGCATTTTTATATACTCTATTACCGTTAGAATCCGAATTAATAGCTAGAACCTTAAACCTCATTCCAACATTAATCACTCAGTGGTTTTACTTGTCTGATAAACTTATCGAGGTCCTTTACAGTAGCATACGCAAACATGACCCACGGATACCACAGTGACGCAACTCTTAATCCAGGAAACACCAGAGAATAAAATATTACCTGTTGACACGCCAGCACCAACCATAGTTATTATTTTGTTGACTTGACCATCCTGGATTAATTGTGTCACACCTAACAGAATATGCTAAAACAGTTAAATTTACCCTCTAAATCGAGAGACCCAAGTTTTGGTCGAGGCGTATGATCTCCAAACAGTGCTTTCTTAATCCCTGAAAAGTTGAAAGACATGACGAAGGAGAAAAAGAAAAAACGTCAGAGCCTTTCGAAGCTACCCGCCGTTTCGTTTAGCGACCTTGAACGGCCTAACAAGAGGCGGTCATTTCGTATTTCCATTGACGTGGATTTGGTCGGTTGCATGAATATTAAGTTTTTCCACATTTAAGTCATCTTTTGTTGCATTAAAAAGTAAAAAATAACAGTCAACACCACTCAAATATGCCCTCTTCGGGAAGTCTATCGTGCAAGAATTTAAAATTACAAGTTGACAAGTTCAAACACATCATCAAGTCAGAATATTCAATACGAACGTGAAGACAGTCCTACTGTATGGAGCTGAAACTTGGGGAACTACTCTAACCATAGTTAAAATTGTGCAAATACTCATGAACAATCGTCTGAGTAAGTTACTCAATGTCCCTTGCCCGGATACCATCAGCAACAGCCTACTGTGGGAGAGAACAAACTAGCTTTCAGCTGAAGAGGAAATTAAGGAAATACATGGGTAGTAGGTAGGACATAGATTGTGGAAACCACCAAAATTCATGAAGAGACAATCGCTAACTTGTAATTCCGAAGGGAAATGGGAAAGAGGAAGGCCAAAGAACACACTGCGTCTAGAATTATATGCAGACATCAGAAGGATGGATAACTGGAAACAAGTGGAAAGGGTTGCTCAGGACAGAGGTCTATGGAGAATGGTCGTTGGTGGCCTTTGATCTTCATTCGGCATTTCGTGGTCTGTCTGTATGATAATTGAGCTACGTCCCAGCTACATTTCCCTTAACATGTGATAAACTCGTTCAATGATTTAGACAGCAGCTGATTTGAGAGTCCATTCATGTAACAGATGATTCATTCATTTCTTTGATTCCCGGTCGATCAGCTCTTTTTTTACAAATTCTCGAAATACGTGTATTTTTACCACAATCTGTACTTCACTTCTGATATCTTCTAATTCAAACGGACCAAAGAAATTCAGTATGCATTGACTATGGAATAATGTTGAGTCACTACTACAAATTGTCTTTGAACCTGAACATACACTAAATCAGAAGAATCATACCAGCTGTTGTATGTTCGACGAGAGCGAAGGCAAACACGAGCACAATTGTCGGGACTGTATGGCTCAGCCAATTATATCTAAATGTGGCCAAATACGCTACCATACTTCCCTAACTCTGAATCTCACAGGCGATCATACCAAATGTCCCTTTAATTAGAGTATATATTGGTTTGCTTATGAATTCGGTTTTCAATAGCGTAGCTTTCTACGCCTTGTTCCTAGTTAGTTGAACGAGTTTTAAGGAATCAAAAATCTTCAGCTGGCTGTATTTTGGACGGTGAACAACACCTCAATTAAAGTATAACGTCTTACTCTGTAGTAGTTTCTGCCGTATAGTTATGTATCCACATTATTTCTTAACGTAAATAAACTGAATAGCGGAATGCGGTCCCGAATTAACACCGACTGAGCTCAAGACGTGTTGTTAAACGTTATCACCAACAGTTGGGAACCTTCCTATCAGCTGTGATTTGACTGTAGAGTGTCAAGTAAGAAGGTTCTGGAATTCCGGACCAGCGATACGGAAAACACCGGAGGAATACACTGCAAATCCCTCTGAAGTGTCCCGTTAGATAATCTGCTCTGTCTTTATTATTAATATATATATATATATATTTCTGAACCGGCAGGTACACGCCATTTTTACATGCATGATCTACAAATTACAACATTTATTGTTTCACAGTATGCATTTGAGATAGATATAGTCAATAAAAGTGAATATCAGTTCATTCCTTCAGATATAGTATTTAAGCAATGCAAATTTTTACGTTTATAGTCGTTATAAAGTAGACTTACATAGCGCTTGGTGTGAACTATGACGATGAGAGAACACGCACGTCTAGTTTGTTCCAAACTTCAGAAGTTCTATAGCTGTGCCCTCAGAGCGAGATTCTGAAAAAAGAAACCGAGGAGCAGCAGGGCACATGTATATGAACGATAAACAGTACTTGATATTTTGTAGTCGAACAGACAGAGGTATGATAAACTATTAGATTAAATTCATACTAGCTCTTGTAGCTAGAGTGAAATGTGCTCAGATGCTCCAGATGAGAGAATGCAGTAATAAAACACAATCAGTTGTGATATTTACCAAGGTGGAGTAAGTTCAAACGAAGGAAGGGAAGTCAGGGTTGGAATAAGGAAGGCTTTCTATTAGAATAGAAAGTGGATGTAGGGAGTAAAGTGTTAAGAAAACTAATAACTATGTCTTCTTTCGTCTGATTTTTTTCATCCGATGCCTGCCACACAGTCTTAATGTAGAAGTCCGAATTAGCATGTTATAGGTTGTTTTAGTAAAATAGCTAATCCAGCATAAAATTGGAAACATGAGTCTAAATGGTAAGCGTAGGAGAACAACTTCAATATCACAGATTGATTGACTCGTCTTGTATGTTAACTTTTACTAGGGTCTCTTGTTTTATGTTCCCCAGTCTTTCATGTCTGAGTCTTTATACTTTGGTTTCAGCCAAGTTTTACCTTATTCACGTTACCGAGTAATTAACAAGGTTACGGCGTGGTTCGGTTGGTGTTTGTTGACTTTCATTTGCCTGCCAGATATGGTTGCTCAAATTCTTGTAAATTGATAGTTTGTCCCACCTTGTTTGGAATACTCTTATTATTTCTATAGTACCAAGCACTTGATTATTGATCATTTCTTTTGCTGTTCAGTGTGCCACATTTGATGCATTTAATGCTTTCGATATAATTTTTTTCTTCGTTAAATCAGAATCGTTCAATTCGAGCACACCATTTGCGTTTTGATATAATTTAATACGAGTGACCAAAAAAAGGCTTTTACGCTGTACAGAATTAAGTAGTTCAGTCTAATCGGATGGCACCCCGATCAACCAACAAAGGGGAGATAAAGGGGAAAATAAATCGGTCACATCCATGTGAACTAAATATTTAGTTAGTGTAGACGAAATGTTGGAATTTTGTATGTTACACTGTGAATGGTTAGTGGCACTAACAAATGAAAACATAGTTCCTTTGTTATAGGGGTGTTATTTTAGCACAAATATTAGTGTAAAATGTAGAAATTCACAAAACGACATTTTTGTTCCAGGCCACGATGACTCATTTTTTATTTATATCACTGTTTGGATGAAACAAGATAAATCATTATGTTGGAATATAAAGTAAGCCTGAAAAGTAGAGTCTACCAAATTTCGGCGCCATGAGAAACAGATCATAAACTTCCTATTCTTTGGTGTTGTAATTTGCTGAATAAAGACGATAAATCTTCAATCTTAAAATGTGAATTCCTCATCACTGATTGTGAACGACCTATTCTGGGTCTAGAGAATTTAAAAATGCTTTAGGAACAGCTTTCCTTATTGAGCACTAAAGATAGCCCTAGTGAAGTGCTTGATAACTTACTGACTACGGAATCAAATTTCGAAAAATAACGCACAACTCCTAAGCTATATTATTTTCATGTGCAGGCGCGAAGTATCAATACCTTGATAAAAACGTCAATTCTAGTACTGGTGCAAAGTTCAAAGACCTGGAAACGAGAGCAGATGCAGTCCTTCAGTGCAGAATTGTTAAACCGTATGCAAAAGAAACAGTGATGAAATTGTTCGTACAAGAACTCCTTTCCCACAATCTAATACTGACGAGAAAGTTTTAAATCGTACAGAGTCTATACCTAAAAAAAGCTGGCTAGACACATAATTAACTTAAGGAGATGCACAATCGATTACATGAGTTTGGATTTTCATTTAAGCTGTGGTAGTTGTAGTATTTGTACGAACTACTGATTTCTTTGTACTTGAATGTGCGTTTATTAAGAATTCTAAATACAGTACGTTCGATCATATTCATCTACTTCTGCCTACCATACAATGTTCTATTTCGTGAATCCTTAGTACATTAATCCGAATATTTCCAATCATAGATAGTTTTACCAATAATTCACAGTTCAGTTAATATAGTTTAGATTGGATTTTGTTTCGACACACCAGTGCAACGATACACACACCAAGAGGATGCATCATCTTCAGTCTACATCCACTTATTCTCATGAGCGAGACGATTGACACGCTATGTAGTTCCATTTGGGTGCGATGCAACCATTTTATCAGTCAACTGACAATTATATTGTCAACCTACTGATGGGTTGGGTACATATGTTTCAGTTTCTTAATTTCTCATCGTCTCAGACGATCAAAAGCAGCGCAGAGAACGATCATATTTGATTTTTCGTGCCTTAAAGTAGCCCTCGTGCTATTGATAGAAGAAACCAGAGAAGTAGTGAATAGGTCTTTATTTCGATCTTAGCGCGGTGACAGTGGAGCGTCCGATTACCTGTTCAGACAAACAAAGGCTCTCAACATTCAATATAAGATAATAGGGAATATAACGCTTATACAAAACAAGGAAGTGAATGAATACTTGAACAGTACTGTTTTGGCATATGCTTGGTTGTTTGGGGTCAACTCTTAACCAACCAACCTAGGCTGTTACATTAGCTTCCCCCTAGAATCGACTTCCGTAGGAACGTCGGTTCGATTAACCTAACTATCGAAAACACCTTGGTTCTATTTCTCATCCCCAGGGAAAATTATCAACTCGCTCACTGTTTGACTTACAATCAGTGACGACTAACGCTGTCAACGATAGTCCATGGATGTCTCTTATTTACTAGCTTGTCATCTTATTTTGTAGCATGTGATTTCTTCTACAACTATCGCCGACGGTTTGCTGCGTGCATTCAAGAGAAAGTATGAGAATGTGGAATAAGAATATCTGAGGAAGTGCCGCGAGCGGGCTACCCAACACCATGTTGGTGAGGTACGATTTTTCCGTGCTCAGACCGGCTATCAGGTGTTTACTCACCTGCCTCTTGAGTCGCCCTCAAGTAAAAAGTAAAGAAGAATCTACTTCAAAGGTAATGGTGAAAATCAAGCAAACCTGAAGAACTGCTCCACTGCCTGCATAAAATAATAAGATACAAAATGGAAATACATAAATGTAATTGATAATTGTTCGGTTCCATGTAAGTGCTT